CCCACAGCCTTCCCCTCATGCACCCAGGGGTTCAAATAGACCCAAATTTCACCCTTTTCACCCCAAAACGGGGCGATACTCACAGCAGGAAGGGACTCGTAGACCTCCACGGGGTCCAGCCCTCCGGGGCCCAGGCGTTTTTGCCTCTCCTCTTCCTCGTACTCCTTCATCGCCTTCTCGATGCGCACCTTGGCCCGGCCCCGCACCCGCTCCTTGAAGGCGTCCAGCTCGTCGTTGAAACCCTCCATGTACTGCTGGTCGGCCGTCTGCCAAATTTGGGAGGGTCAAAGGGCTTCCTAAACCCTTTGGACCCCCTCAAAATCCACTTTGGGGTGACTTTGTACCTTAATTTTGGTGAAAAACTGCCGGAAACAGGCCCTGGGGTCGACCTTTAAGCTCTTGGCCAGCTCCAGGATGAACTGCATGACGATGGTTTGGTGGGCGACCTGCTCCATCAGCGCATGTTTCTTTGGAGGGGGGGACATAAAAACAACATAAATACCCCCAAAATTCACCTTTTTCCACCTCAAGGGGGTCAGGGGGTGCAGGGCGACCCCGTGTTTGGGGGGGTGATGTGGATGGAGGGCACCCGAAGTTCGTAGGTGGCACCCAAGGGGGCCCGCTATGGTTGGGATTTGGCAGCGCGAGGTTGGACCCAAGGAGCTCTAAAGCCCCTTTTTAACAGAAATCATTTATTAAATTCTGTATTTAATTAATTTATTAATTCCCAAATGGCCCAATTTCCACAAATACACAATTCCCCAATTTTACAATTGCCAAAGCCCCAATTTTCCCCATTTTTCTAATTCCTCAATTTTACAATTTCCCAATTGCCCCAATTTCCCAATTTCCTCAATTTTACAGTTCCCAAATTCCCCAATTTCCACAATTTCACAATTTCCTCAATTTTACAGTTGCCAAATTCCACAATTTACACAATTTCCCAATTTCCCAATTGCCCCATTTCCCCAATTCCCAAATTCCCAAATTTTATAATTCCCAAATCCCCCAATTTCCACAATTTTACAATTCCCAAATCCCCCAATTTCCACAAGTTCAGAATTCCTCAATTTCCCAATTCCCCAATTTCTACAATTTTACAATTTCCCAATTCCCCAAATTCCCCAATTTCCTCAATTTTACAGTTCCCAAATTCCACAATTTACACAATTTCCCAATTTCCCAGTTGCCCCAATTCCCAAATTCCCAAATTTTTACAATTCCCAAATCCCCCAATTTCCACAATTTCCCAATTTCCCAATTGCCCCAATTCCCCAATTTCCTGTTTTACAATTCTCAAATTCCACAATTTCCACAATTTCCCAAGTTCCTCAATTTTACAGTTCCCAGATTTCCCCAATTTCCCTCAATTTTACAATTCCCCAATTTCCCCAATTTTACAATCCCCAATTCCCCAATTCCCCCAATTTTACAATTCCCCAATTTCACAATTCGCCAATTTCCCAATTTTACAATTCCCCAATTGCCCCAATTTCCTCAATTTCCCAGTTCCCAAATTCCCCAATTTCCACAAGTTCCCAA